TATACATAAAATGTATTTTTTATATATTAAAAAATACATGTTTTTGTTTGGCATTTCCAGGGTTTTTAATGTTTCAGTGCAACCCAAACATTCTTGTTCATATATTTGATAATACATCAATACTTATATCTGCTCTGATTGCATCTTTGTTGCATTCTGACTCAACTTACTCCAGGAGGCAGCATGAGATGTATAGGAAAAAAATTCAATTAAAAATCTGGAGTTATCACCTGTTCATAATTGCAGCTTTGTTCCCACAGATGTAATGCTAGTCTCAAACCTACACCCATTCTCTTTCCTGACTTTGAAGTGCTCTTATTTGTTCCATTATTTTTATTGCAGTATTACTGATGTGATCATGTATGGGGTTTTTTCTATAATAAAATGGTTGTAATTAGTAAGAATTTTATTTGTAATCAAAGACAACCTAAAAAATGCAGAGAAAAACATAACAAGCAATTGAACAAGTGTGTCATTCACAAAATCTTGTGTTCCTTTCTTGTAGAGCTTTAGAAGAAAATTGTGCCTTTAAGAATGTGCTTGTCCTTGGAAGAAGCAAAGTAATTTACTCCCAAAACTACTTGAGGGGAAAATATTCATAGAGTTGTACTTGAGGAACAAATGAATGAATAGAAAAAACTTCAGTCTCACATTGAAACTGTTAGGCAGGTCTGTGTGTTTCAGAGAAGGAAGGTGTGTACATAATGAAGATGTGTACATAATGAGTAACTGTGCGATTTAATTGCTCAGTGAGAGTAGTTGGAATACTGTACATATTTTTCTAGGAAAAAAACCCCACAGGTATTTGTTAAACTGAGATTCATCATCTTGAATATTGGTAATTAATTCTGCTGACTCATATGCACAACATATTTTTGACATAACACATTTAGACTTACTTCCACAGATACTTGCATTTCCTTCTTTGCAATCCCTAAAATGGCGTTTTACAAGAAAATACAGATTGTTCATATGCCTGTTCTCTTCATCAGTGTGTCTTTTCTTAACAGAATTGATATCACTCGAAATGACCTTCCATGGGAATTCATGACAGACCGTCTCCCAACCATTTTATTTTTTCCTCATCAGAGGTAATGTAATTCTTTTCCCTGTGGGTTTTTAGCTTTCATTTTACTAAGTTATAATAATTATCTGGTTACATGTCTTAGTAGAGAAAAAAGCCAAACAGTAATTCATTTCCATATAGGCGTTCTTATTTTATGCATATTCCAATTAAAAACAACAACAACAAAAAAAAAACCCTCCAACAGACGTGGATAGTTGATGGTATGCAGATAATGAATGTTCTCTCCAAAGGTCATTATTTAATTGTTTGTAAGTCTTTATTTATGAACATCAACATTACTAACCTTATTCTTCAGTTAATTTTTCTTATTATTTGGTTGTATTTAAAATTATTATTTTGGCATGGTCCAAATAAATTAGTGAGTGACTACAGGAGGGGGAAAAATGGGAGAAATTATGTAGATGGTGGTGCAACGTAGATCTAGTGCAACTTGTATCTAATTGCTTCTAATTGGATAAACTAAGGGAGATCTCAAAGAATATTGTAATGGATTCTTGCAGTAAAATGCAAGGATTTGCTTGCTATGTTTTCAGTGAAGAAAAATAAAAAATAAGCACAGATGGAAAGTAAGTAATCCAGCCCAAGCTTAGTCTTGTTTAAGAGAACACAAACTAACAATCCTGATATTACAGAGAGAGGAGACAGATTGTTAGGTGTCTTTAAAGCAAAAAATTTGTCTTAAAAAAAACCAAAACAAAACCCCAAAAAAGGTAGAGAATCTGAGTACTAAAGGAGGGCTTATGCATCCTTTGGAAATACTACAGTGGTCTTAATCTGTGCATTTTTATTTCTCCCTCCTCTGTGGTAGAATGAACGTAATCAGAGGGACTTCGGAGTGCTCATTGCTCAAACTGAAGTTCTTTCAGGTTGCATTTCTCTCGTTCTGATGTTTGGCTTTTGGGGGAAATGTATGCATGTCTAGCTGTACCTGTATTTTGGATATTGGATTCTTTGGCAATCTGCATAAACCATGGAAGTGTTCCATCAGTTACGAAGTAGTCTAACGGTGGCAGAGAGAATGACTTGAAATACTTCTGGCCTTTATAAGCTCTTTAAAGGAGATGCTAATATCTAAAGCAAAATCTCTGCTTTTACATAGTATAGGAATGGCATGTATAGAGATAGCTCATATCTTGTCCTGATTTAATAAAAGTAAGGGTTAAATTTTCCTCTGTTTTATATTTCATTTATATGTCAGCTATGTTCCCTTTTGTATTGAAAGAAGTTTCATATTAAAAGAAATTTCAATGTATAAAATGTACAGTAAATAAGAGGTGTTTCCATTCCCGATAAAATCAGAATATAGGATTTTCTTTTTCCTGCTTTTGTGATACCATTAGTCTTGTTTAGTGACGTCGTTGTGTTGCCATAAAAGAATATGAAGCAAAAAAAAAACCCAAACAACCGTTATGAATGTTGTGATCAAGTAGATAGAGAATATGGGATGGAGTGAAAAAAGGTAGTTGAAGAAGCAGAAGTATGACACAGTAAGAAAATGTACTTAAAATGAAAACATTCTCAAAATTGTTTGGAAATTGTATAAAAGTTACTGGAAGATTGTCATGTTGCATGGCTAGAAAAACTGGAAAAACTATTGCAAATACTTTGGGGGTTTTATTGAGCTGTTCTACTGCAGTGTTTCTTAAACATAAGGGTTTTTTTAAACTATGAATATTTCAAATGGTGTGATACAGTCTTCAAGTGAAAGCCATGCTTGAAAGTAATTTAATGCGAGAACTTCCTGTGTAAACTAACAGTGTGGTTATTGAAGTATCTTTCTTCTTTCTTAAAACAACACATTACTCCACTCTTTCACTTGGGCATAAATACATTTTTTTCAAAGTTGAAAAAAATCTGTTGTTGAAATGGTGCAGATACTTTGATTGTCATTAGTGTCCTTAATGGTATTGCCTAAATTTTTTTAGCAGCAATTTAAAAAAAATAAAATTACACAGCATTGCTTCTACAGATACTATAGAATTACATCATGGGAATTTGTGTATATTCCCGAAATGTTTTGGTTTTCATTCTGGCTCAGTAACAAGTGCTGGACTTTTCACAGGAGAAAAGTAGCAGCAGATGGGTTGGCATTGTAGAAGCCTTGCATTGTTTCTTTAAAACAGAAAACAAATGAAGCTTCAGTAGCAGTTTAACACCTAGAGAGGAAAACATCCAAAGGAGATTAGCAGTAAAACAAAGAGTATATGCTGTTGAAGTGAAACTATATACAGCAAGCAAGACCTCAGAGAAAGAGCCAAGAAATAAGAGTGCAGGACAGGGAAGTGTAGTTTCAAGGAAACAGCTAGGATTGAGAATAATTTCTGGGAAGATGAAAGCAAGCTGAGTTGGGGGAAGCGAACTGATGCATGAATGGGTCAACAAAAAACAAGACAAAGGAGGGTGGGGTAGAGAAAGGCACAAAGGGTGGGTCAGGAAGAAAAGGAATTCTCAAGTTAGGGATGTAAAAAGGCAGGAGAGTACATTTAGGACTGTGATGGGACCTGGAATGGTATACAGGGGTCCTGAATCCTAGTGTTCCTCTGCAGCAGGGAGAAATTCTGAAATCCAGTGTCAAACCTGTGTGTCATTTCTGCTTTGTTCCAGCACACACAGTGCAGGTGCATCCAGCCTCACACAGGCTGAGGAACAAGAAAGAAACATTAGATGCAAGTGAGCCGCAAGTTTTCGAAAGTGATCAATTTGTTGTTTCAGACATGTTTTTGGTGTTACATGTATGCCCTATGCATTCAACTTGATTGATATGTGGGTTTTCTTTTTCTAAAAGATTAATACTCAATCTTACACAATTATGGTTTTTATAGAAAGGAAATTAAAACAAGCACTATAATAAATATCTACGTCTTTGCAATGTAAAATAAAAATGTGGATTTCCACCCTTCTCCCTCAAGAACTCTATCATCAGCAAATGGTAATTCAGAATATTGGTAGTGTGCAGTGTTACCTACCACAAAATCTTTAAAACTCTGCCTTAAGTTTTGCAATTCTAAATTCATGTTTCAATTTAGTACAGAAACAGTTTCATTTATATCAGTTCTGCGTCACCCCAACTTCCAACTCATCATCTCCCGTACTTTGTGCGGTAAGCCTTGCCAATCAGCCTCAGATCAGGCTCCCTCTGCCACTTTCCTCCAGCTCGGTTCCAGTCCTTCTCCATGACAGTTCCCTAGGTTAATTGAGCAGGACCTCAGCTGGAGTGGTTCCAAGGTGTGTACCTGTCTACATAAAGGCAGAGTTACCTTCATCTGCTGCTTAGCAAAAGCTGCAGTCTTCAGTGCCAAAACCCCAATCCAGTTACCTGTGAAGTTCCCAGATTCCACTGGGTCTCAGTTTTGCACATTTTCCAGTGTTCAGGCTCTGTATCTCTCATTTGCACAGTCCACTAGTTCTGGCTAGCTTGAGTGGCTACAAACAGAGGACCTGCTGGTTTAAAGATGAGTAGTCTCAGTTTTAGTTGAGATGAGCCACATGTGTTTCATGAGGTGCTGTTGACAGCTGAGACGAGTACTAGCAGTAGTATGCTGTTGTCTTCTACTCCATTAGGTCAAGTGGCATAAGGTGAAGAGCTACTAGATCTAACTATATTAACAACCACTGGAATGCTAACGTGATTAATTTTAGGGCTGGAAAAAGTTAGAAACTGATTTCCAAATACTGTTGTGCCTACAGTTTTAAGACCACTGTTCTAATTAATGAGCCCCAACATACTATGTGGAAACTTCAGTCAAGTGACTTTCCCTCTCACTTTTGAACAAGGATCTAGTTTGCAGAACCATGCCTTCTAGGGGACAGAGCAAGTGTCATGTATAACATGATGAAAAGGTTTTTCTTGAATTACTTTAAAGCATAGCTCAAGCAGGTTTTAGAGCAGTAAAACAATTTATAGTGAGTTGAAGCTTCCTCTAATACTTATCATCTTCCCTGTGTTACTACGAAGTCCAGTGTTCCCTATTTCTTTTAATAAGATACTCATTTTGCCTTGGTCTGTTTTATAAAGCAGCTCTAGACTGTCTCTGGAGCAACAGACTTAATAGTTTTAGTAAGATTGGTTTTGTAATGTTCCAGTTGGTTTCATAAAGGTACCTTACGTCTAGTCATTGTTTTCTCTCTTGCTTTTCCTCTCCAGTGTGTCTTATATTTTGCTGCATCTAAGTAATCAAGAAAACTAGGGTTTGATAGTATTTGTAGTATCAGTAGCACTACTAGAATAGTCATATATTAATTTTAGATATAAAGGTGCCTCATATCAAGGCTTTCTGTGAAGTTCCTTATGCATTTGCCTTATGAGACAATTTCTGCAAATTAACTCTGTTCTCAATTTCTTTCAACCACATGCTGTTAATATTTTGTTTTGCTTCTTGTTTTAAATAGCCTTTTAGCTTTTGTGATACGTACTGTGGTTTTGATCAGTAAGAATAGATGATGACGTAGTAAAATATTACCACTGTATAATGAGTCAATTTTGTCTTAGTGTAGACTATTTTTTGCCTAAATCAAGTTGTAATTCATTAAACTTGGATGTGAGCTGACTGTCAGCTGAGAAACTGGTGATGGTAATTACAAGAGTAACTTGGTTGATCACCAGAAGTCTGCAGGGGAAGAAAAATCATGTTGCTTACGCTTCCAGAAATAGCTTAATTTTGATGAACAGGAGCCTCATCTGTCTGAAGTTCTTGAATTACTGATAAAATATGGAATCTGTCTTTCACCTGAAATACAATAAGTATTTCTCAGTAAATGAAATTAGCATATGTTTATATCCCATATGCTGATGAGTTGGATTTCACAGAAAGTGTTTTTGAGGCAACTGTAACCGGTAACTGAATTAACTCCCCTGTTCCAGATGCACAGTGTAAGTAATTCGGAAACATGTCATACATGGGGACATAGGAGTTGTCCATGGTGTGTGTTGTACAGGAGCAACAGCGGTGAACTTTGAGGCATTAGGCATTATACTTGAATCTGGCTTTCTTGCTTTGGAATAATTTTTGTTTGGGATTGTCCTATGCCCATTTTCTGACTTGTGTAATTAACCCATGTCTGAATGTATGCTACATACCATTAATCTGGTTATGAATTTGGCAACTAAAGGGAAGTAAACTAAGCTTTTCTTCTCTGTTTTGATGGCCCCTGAATGAGAGTATGTTTCTGACTGGCGAAGGCTAAACATGATACAAAGTGATAAACTGTTAGCTAGTTTTCCATTTAAACATACTTAAGTAGCTCTACTGCAATAGTCAGGAGGCAGCAAACTCATGTTATAGTGGAACATGCTGAGTGAAGGGCTGAAGACATAACTGGTTCAGAAAGAGATGGTTACGAGTTAGTTCCTGTCTAGTCCTCAGAGGACAGTTTTGCCTTCTATGTTTTGTGACATAAGTATGCACATGGTCCAAAACCGGCAATAGTTTTAACATTTCACACAGCTGGAGGTTGTGGGTGTCTTTTGGTGGTTAGTAGTCTTGAGGAAGAAATTTGGTACTCGGTGGTCTTCAAGCAGCTTGGACTCTTGTCAGGTTAAGAGTAACAGTTCATGCTGTAGCAGAAAGCAATGGGCCTACCTCTTCATATGCTGGGCTTTGTATTCACAGCCGTATGAGCTGGGGGTCAGAGGGCGGAAACCCAAACAAAAAACTTGTTTGGTGTGCTTCCTTGATCACATCAGTGGCATGAAGACAAGTAAGAGGAACAAGTAAAAAGATTTGGGGTTTTGGCAGCAAAAAGGCCTTGCTTCTGACTAACTTCTGTTGAAAAGCAAATTGTGTACTTTTCTGCTCCTTGCAATACCCCTCTGATGTTGGAACACATTAAGCTACTTCTTCCAGGATAACATATATAAGCTCAAAATAATCATTTCCCATCAGATAGCTTTATACATCTGGACTTAACTTCTAACAATGTGTGTAGAATTAGGAACACTTAAATGCTCTCCTTCAACTTATTAACAAATGTTAGTGTCAGTATGCTCTGATTACACCTGCCCAACAGTGATGCTACTGTATGTACTTCAAGCTCATAACCCATAATTGGGTGATTTACAAGAGTAAAATTTGCTTCCTGCAATTAGACAGAAAATTTTGTTCTCAGACAAATACCAATCCAACGCAAGAGATGCTTACAGCACCCAGACTGGAATACAGGTAAAAGTGTTCATCACAAGAAAAACCACATGCTCTGTCTTTATTATGTGAGTTCAGGTTTCTCTTAGCTGCTATATTGATTCTTGATAAAAAAACCAAGATATCAAGTTGGAGTTGAACAGCAGGTGCTTAGATAAAATTATGACTGCTTACCTATCTGAAAGTTTTAATACTACTTGTTCTGTCTTTCTAGGAAGGAACAAAGTGTGAAGTTCCCTGCAGACTTTTCAGTTAACCTTCCTAATCTCCTTAAATTTATTTTACGTCACTCAAGTCTTTCTTCATCGGAGCCCTGTACCAAAGAATGCCTACATAAAGAGACCGTTCTACAGCAAGGACACATCTCCCACTTAGAGAGAGAAATTCAGAAGTTAAGATCAGAAATCAGTGCCCTTCATCAGGCTCATAACCAGCTTGAAGCACAGCTTTCTGAAGCTAGGAGAGAGGAACATAGACTACAGCAGCAAAAACACACACTGGAAAAGCAGCACAAGACTCTGCAGCTCCACAGTGAGCAGTTACAGGCCACATATGACCAGAAGAATCAAGAATTATTAGAAATGGCTGAGAAGCTTCAAGAATTAGCTGATGCATCAGAAAACCTCCTTAAAGAGAATACTTTACTGAGAATCCTGGTGGCATCGAGGGAAGGAAAGCTACAGGGCAAAGATGAAATGAAAGAATCCCTTCAGTCAGAGCAAACACTTTCTGAAGATAATGATATATCAGTTTCAGCAGCTACTGCCACATTAGGGGGAAAAACGACTGATAATATTGATACCATAGAGCACAGTAGCGGAAACAGGACAGAATGATTGCTTACACAGAGTCAAGGCAGTATTGGGTAGGTATTTATGCAAATTTTATTGAAATTCATTGTAAATAAAGACTTCCCCCACATGATCTAGAAAAAGAAAAATCAAATGGAATATTTTTGTATACTTGAACAACTTATTAGATACCCACATCTAAAGAGAAGAGAATGAAAAACACTTTCTGCACTTTACTATTGCACTAACCTGCAACCACCTATCCATTTAAATGAAAGATGCTGATTTTTAGGGGCAGCACTTTCCTAAGGACCAGTTATTTTTCACTGTCTTTCTCTTACAGCTGCTAGAAGAAAAATGAGACCTTTGATTTATACTTTTCCATAATTTCTGAAGTTTGCCCTTTACACAGCATTTTCTTTGCTGATTTAAAATAGAGATACTTCATCTGTGTAATCAGTAAACTTGAATGGACAAAGTCATCTTGCTACAACTGTTCTGTTCTAGAACTTCAGCACTTTGTATCACTTTTGTATACGAGTTATCTGACTGTCTTGAAATCTGCAAGAGCCATGTGTGAACTGTTCTCTACTGAAAACTAAAGAAAGTCTTAACTGAATTAATCCTTTTCTCCTCAATTTGTAAGAGATCTAGAATACAGCAGTTTAAGTGTATGGGTCTCACAAGACTAGTATCTTAAAAAAAAAAGCACACATGTACCAGGGTAAGAACATCCCTCTATCAGCTGTACTTCATATTGTACTCAAGAGGCAACAGCCAGAGCTTTTTGCTACTGACAGCATTAATTTTGAAGCAAAATTGTAGCCTTCAATTAAAAAAAGGCAAATGTAGCACTAAGAATGCAAGTCAACATCTTACTGGAGAAGAAAGGGACAAGATTTTGTCTAGGCCATTATTGTCTTGCATATGGTTACAATTCTAAAGCAAGCTTGCTAGGCCTATGTTCAATAGTTACTCTACATACCAGTACAAGAAGCAAGTCTAATGCTTCCTATAGAGCTGAAGAAATTGGACTTTATTATTTGAAACTTATCTCAGGGAGCAGATTTACAGTAGCTTTTTTTCCTCCTAGGCAATTTAGTGTTTAAAAATTTCAGTAGGCAAAGGAGACTGTGCATGAAGTCATAGAAAACAGGTCAGTGGCCTCAAAGCATGTGTGCCTACCCTAAGAGTTTTAGAATATGTAAGCTGTCATTGGTGACTCAGTGTTGTTCTTTCTCCTCCCCCCCAAACCTTTTAGGTCCAGAACTCCATTTAACACATCTTACAAGTTCCTATAGCTGAACTGTAGCACAGAGCAGGAAAGGGAAGAGGTGTCCTTATTTGGAAGGACTTCACCATTGCTAGCTAAAAACTTTCAAACTGACCAGCACTCTCCCTTCCCCATACCACCATTTGTTCTTGTAGGAAAGACTGAAACTTATCTTGTAGCAGTACAGCTAAATTGAGAGCTATTTACAAGATACATTAACCAAATTCTATAATTGACTGTTTGTAGACTAAAATGCCTTTTTTACAACAGGCTGTTAACATATACCCTAACTGCTAAGTACACAAACAGGCATTCTAGGAAAAATTCATACTAGTTGCACTTACACCAGTTTTAATAAGTAACCACTTCTGCAGTTTCAGCATGCAGACCTACAGAAGAGAAAAGCCTGCTCTACTGCCATTTCAAACTCCTGGAAACCTTCTGGACCATCCATGAGGGTTAGTTATCCATCATTAGTTCCCAAGTTGGAATCCATCAAAATGGCAGTTTCCTTGCAGTAGCTACAGTTGGAGAACTCAGTTCTAGCAGCCAAAAGCTTAACCTACCAAGCTGCAATTAAAGGAAATCACTTCCTTTCTTGTAGCTCCTGTGTTTCCTCCCTCAACATTTTACTGAAGGTTTATACCTTCTTTCCAAAGAAAGTACTCTGCATCAGTCCAATAAACTGTTAAGAATAGGAGTTCTGACTTTACAGCTGTGCACTCAAGTTAGTAGCAGAAGCAAGTGTTAACTGCAGATCTGGTTTTGAAGGTCTGGAATCCCACCTGCAGTTGTGGTTCAGGAGTCCCCTTGTGTGTTATGTACAGTTGCATCACATTATTCCCATATGCCATGGAACACAAAGAAAAAAAAGCTTCTGGCAGCCTATTTACAGTTCACATTTGTAAAGTAGTTCACATTACAGTAGTAGCTCCATCAAAATAGGCTCAGTTAAACATTCAAGTAACAAAACACACTAGTAGTCTCTTCACACCACTATATATCCCTGTGTCCATTGCCGGCAACGGACATTATGCCAGGCGAGTCAGCTCCTGTCATAGAGGAATTAGGATACACAGTTGATGCAAAGTGCAATTTCTCAGTGCATGCAGTTGCAAACAAAGCTTAACCCTCATCAGGGTGTTTGCTGATGAGTAGTATGCATGTGACCAGGTTCTTCACAGTATAGAGATTCTTCTGCTGGTTACACACATAAGCGTAGGCCATATACATGTGTTGCTCCAAGTTAGCTATGTACTTCTGTGCCATTTGGAGTTAGCTTCGCTTTCCTCTCTACACAAGGTCCTTTAGCAGAGTACTGCACCAGAAGAAAGGGCTCTTTGGTTTCTCCTTCACCCACAATGCTTTCCTCATCTTCAGACTGGCTGATCCTCTGCAGACGCAGGTAACACCAGCAGCCCAGTATCAAGGCACCAAGAGCTGCAATAGCAATCAAAATAACAATAACAGTCACCACGCCAGTGGTGGGGCTGTGATCCATAATAGACATGGTCAATATTTCAGATTGTCCAAGTTCCTTAAGGAGATTCTTCTGTCCTCACTATTAGGCTTGCTGCATCTTCAAAACTCCTGCAGTGGAAAAAATAGATACTTAATGAAGTTGTGTAGTTTCACTATATTCAGCAACATTATATTCATCGTTGGTATCCTTCACAATGGCACATGGCCCTCTTGCATTCAGCACATTGAGCTTCTCATACTCCTACAGTTCTTACTCATTCAGCAGACTGCCTTTGAAGATGCAGGTTTCTACATCAAACTAAAGCAGATGAAAGCTAAGCTTATTTCAACACTTGACATGCTTGTCAAGATAGCACATGGTCAGCCTGCAATTTTTACTAGGAGACAGAAGATGAGACAAGACACACATAATAGACTGTATGGAAGTTATACAGTCTAGCATAGAAAGATTTAAGACTATTTAATACAAATGCTAAATCATGGGTAAGCTCTCAAATCTGTGACAAGGTAACAATTCAGCTACCTTTAGTTTTCCTAAAGCAATCCTACAGAAACAGTACACTTTAGAGTCAGAAGTCTGGCCCTTTTTAAAATTTAATTTACAAACATCCTTCTTACTTACTAACAGTTCCAGGATTGGTAAGCTAATTGCTAAGGTAATTGCAATGCTAATGTATTACTACAAGCCTGTCTGTAACGCTGGTCTGTTTAGAAGGGCTGACTACACAGTAATTAATTGGTTGTTCATTGAGCTGATAAGAACAACAGATGTTGCTTTATGTGCATTTTTCATAAGAAGCTGGTAAAGCTAGATTTAGCTATATTTATTGAAGACTAACAAAACACAAGGGGAAGATCATTATTTTAAGCTTCTGCTCTTAGTGGCTTTCAAGCCACAAGAGCAAGGTAGTGTTAGGACTGCAGCTGACACTGGAGCAGAGGCAGCAGGCAGAAAAATGGGAGAGGAGCTCCAAGACTTCCTTAGTCTGCTGCAGAGTTTTGGCAAGACAAAAAACATATAGGGAATGTCATTTGCTACTTCCACTTCCAAATTCACAACACTCTTTAAAGGGGTCATGTGAGCCTTGCCTTAAATTTCAAATGTATTGTTTACAAAGTTGGTAGCTTTACATTCCTTCAACTGGGACATAAGAGAGTTAGTCATTCATTACCTTTCCTACTACCCTAGCTCTTTAACAAGACACAGACTCATGGAAGACTTTAGTAGAGACCAGAGCCAGTTGTACCCAGGAACATATCTTACCTCCATACTGCTGTAGGAATCAGGTTAGGGCTCAATACTACAGTTTCAGCTACAACAGATACAGTCCCTAGTGGATCTGAGGTCAGCTGCAAGTGCAGAACAACAGCATCTGCATCTCACCCAACGTGTAGCCACTGACTGGCAATGGAGTAACAGGAGTATATTCTGGCTGCCGTGCCAGTCTACTGAGGGCCACACACCTTTCCAAGAAAGGCTCTTCCTCACCATCCTTGTTGCAGTCTCTCAGCTGCAACAGAAGCTTCCTCATACAAACCCCTCAGGAGAAGTCAGTCTTAACCAACCTTGAGCCAGAACCATTAGGTTATCATGAGTGTCATCCACTGCACTTGAATTCTCACCTGCATTTCAACATGAAAGAGTCAGGGCAATTACAGCACAGGATCCTCACCCTCAGAACTCAACTAGAGTTCAACTAGAGACTAAGTTTATTCCATAACATCTCATGGAATGGCAGACCCATGCACACTGCCACATAGCCATTTCAGCAAGGACACATGCGCTAAAGACAAGTTCAGCATGAGTGTCATTAGGGTCCAGTGTCACATAACTAACTTGCACACACTCTGGCTACATTTCCAGTCCTGTAAACTACAGCAACCAATAGCTTGTAGTGTACCTGATACAACTGCCTGAGTTCTGCAGACTGTTTTGCCCCAGTAAGAAAAACAAAACTAACCACACCACATGCCCTCAGCAGAGCTATGTGCCCACTGCAGCTGGAGAGGCATATGATTTTTGTCACAATCATCTTGGTTCTGCAATGCTTATTCAACACAGGGTGATCAGCTGAGGGTGATTAAGAGTGACTTTCATGTAGCTCATTTTCCTCAGGGCATGTCTGAACTGCAGCACTGTTTGCTCTAGCCACAACAGTACAGCATCAGCATAAAAGATGGTTTCCCTTGCTTCTCATGCAGTGCCAGCATGTCCACATTAAGCCCTCTTCTGCAGCTTGCACAATTGCTAGCAGCAGTGACAACCTACTAGCACTGTTTCTCTGCAGCAGTTTGGTGCAGCATATACCTTATATTAGAACTAAATAGTTACTGTCACCTAGAAAATCACTTTTAATACTAGAAACTAGCATTGCATATGCTA